ACGTCCTTAGGCGAACGGCTCCTCAAAAATGTAAACAAACAAGAAGAAAGCTCGAGAAGGGAACATTTGGTAAGAATTTCTGGTTTAGGCTTTACCTTATTTATTGAAGAATATAGTGGTTTAATAGAGGAAACTTTTTTATAGTGGAATTGACCGAGAGAGACGTACATAGATAGAGGGAAATGAACACCGCCATCTTAGCGAGAACAAGAAATAGAGACATAAACCACACGGGTAGAGCTTGTTCAACCACACATGTACTGTGAAATGACGAAAATATCACGCTACAAGTCCACAACACCCTCAACACAGCCAGGATTCTTAATATCTGATTTCTACTAGTTGGTATTAAGTGCTAACTAATGGGGGCACATGGGACCCCCCCCCCCATATAGAGAATTAATAGAAGGTAGGAATGGTTAGTTTTTTTTTTTTTTTTTTTTTGGGGGGGGTTGATAATCCTAGTCATGGGACTTAGTCTTTGAAGGGTGTGTCACTCTCGGTATCAATACCCTTTTGGTTAATGATATTCTATTCCGTTTCATGTGTTGGGAAAATGTTGATTGGGAATTTTGTGTTGATTTTATGACTGTCATTAATTGCATAAATGTTTTGCATTTGTTTGTACATCATATTATTATCAGCTAAGTATGTAAATATACGGAAACTTTGAGACGTGGAGGATGAAGTAATGATCAAAGTTATTTTCATTGCATTAGATAAAAAAAGTTATAGTAGGCATTGTGGATTATGTCTTCTGTAATTGTAGTGAACTTCAATCACATATATATAACACATTTTATTATTTCCAATCTTTCAATTGAGGAATTGTGAATAAAACAGGAATAATGTGGTGCAGGTCGCAATTTATTGAAAATGAAGGTTCTTTTATGAAGGGTAAGAGATAAGATGTCGATGTGTAAAGTATGTTTATGAACACAGGGTACTTCTACTCGTCTTCTGATATCAGGAAGCTGGTTGCCTAATCTGTATTATTTACCACAATATTTATCATTCTGTTGCATCTAGCTATTTATAAATCTGTTAATACTTATCTATATATACATAGAATTATTAATCAACACAATATTATGGAGGTCTTTTTCGTGGAGATATTTATTTTCAATCTAATTTTCTAATCCCATTTCAGAGGAGAGAGAGAGAAAAAAATCCCCGAGAATGACGGAAGCAGCCACGAGCCCAGTCACAGTTACCGTCCGCCTGATCCGCTCCTTCCAACACCGCAACATCCGAAACCTAGTCATACACGATGTCGACGTTACAACCACTGTCTCAGACTTCATGGAGCTCGTGCGGGGCAGGCTGAAGACAGCACCTGCCTTGCCCCCACCCTTCCGGAACTTTGCATATGACACCTTTAAGATCGAAACCCAGGCCTTCGGCTTCAAGACTAATGACCCTGTTATCAATCGAGAGGATGACGAGACCCTCATCCTCCAGCCGGGCAAAAGCTTAGGGGAATCTGGGGTAAAGAATGAGACAGAGATCAGCTTCTTCAAACTCGACGATTACCTGCAGTACAAACAGAACCCGGTCCATGCTTTATCATGACGATTTTTTCTGTATGATAAAAGGAGGGAAGGATTTTATTTAGGGTTATGACTGCCCCAATACATGTTTTGAAATAGAAATTTTTGGTTGATAAGGTTTTGATCAGCCTATTTTATTTCAGTATGTCATATTATGAACCGAGGGTAATTTTGAGTATTTCTTTATTTCTATTGGCATTCGGATCATTTGTAATTGATAGCTACTATTGGTTGTATTGCTGTTATAGTATAATTTATTATTATCATCATTATTAATATAATAAACTTTTATCATTACAATTATTGTTACCATTACTTATATATTGATTTAATCATTACTGTTATTTTGGTAATTATCACTGGGATCACAGGCATTATCACCATATCACTGTCACTGATTTTTCATCAAGACCAGAAGCACTATTATTATCACACAGTTAACATTTGCTGTCATATGCTGAAACAATCACTTGACATCAGGAGTATGGTTGGACCAAAATGCTTGACTTCTTGTCAAAAGAATTTTTTAAGTGAAATAAAATTTTTCAATAGAAATGTTTCTATTACCCATACATAAAAAGTGTTTTACATGTATGTTATAGTATCCATATATAGACTACATTTGTGTATATACTGAACATACCTGTATATAAAAGTATACATAACCATTTTTTTTTCTTTTGTTTTTTAGAAAGATTAGCATCACAGACACAGGAAAGCATTTTGCAAGAACAACGGTCTTCCAGGGTTATTTGTTTTATCTTCTTGAAGAGTTATATTTTCCCCTTTAAGTCCGTAAATTCTCCTGGCTCCTCTGCACACGCTCAAATATCCAGCCATAACTGATAGAGAAAACATGACTAACAATAGTTAGGGAAGAATTCAAGTTATAACGCTTAGGAGTTGAAAGGAAGGGAGACGTGACAAGACGAACAGAGAAAAGAGTAGTGTAGTGGAGCAGAACAGCGCATGAGAGGAGTGGGAGTGAGAGTGAGAGCAGAGTAGAACAGAGTGAGAGAGAAGAATATACTAAAGAGAGAGTGACGTGATGTGTGGTGTGTGAGAGAGAGAATGATTTAGCGAATAAATGTGTGAGAGGGGTTAAGTGAAGTGCAGTGAAGTGAGAGATATAAAGAAAATGAGTAATACAGAGACAGAGAGTGAAGGTGGGAGCAAGTACCTGTTTGTGTGCGAGAGAGTGAGTAAGAGTGCACGTGTGGAAATGGATGTGAATGGTGTTAGATGCATGTTTGCACGAGTCTGCAGTGCCCCTTTGCCCCGTTCAGGACCCTTAATCACAAGAATTCATGACCACCTGGTAACACTGTCAGCTGAATAAGTGTTGTTATATTTTTGATTATCCATTTAATAGTTCTGCCATACTCTTTCATGTGTTCTAGTTCCTCCCTTAGAGTGTTAATCAGCTTAAATGACAAAAGACATACTTAGCTGATTGTGAATCCTTGTGGCTAAGTGTACCTTACCGAAGCCTTTCTCCAAACATGCTTAGTACAAATGCCTCTTCTTCTGGTTCTGTCACTCGCACTTGAAATCCAAACTACATCCATCTATACTGAAAATAATGATCTCCAGCCTCCTTTCCGACAATTTATTCCAGATCTTCATGATTTACTGTAACAATCGTATAGTCTCTACTTACCTGACTGCTTGGCTCCACCTTCTCCTTAGAAAAAGAAGAACGGTGTAGCTTGTCCTCCACTGGTTTGAAATACTCTCTTCCTCCGAAAATCTGGTATGTTTGCCAATTCTTTATGCTTTTTGCAGCACACTTGTGACTTCTGATGGATCTTGTGCTTTCTCTTTCTTCATCTCTTTCCAAGCTTTCTTATAAATGAGCAGATCCAAGCACACTTACAGGCACACACATGTACTAGCCCACCCATACACAGTACATCTGTGTGTGTGTGTGTGTGTGTGTGTGTGTGTGTGTGTGTGTGTGTGTGTGTGTGTGTGTGTGTGTGTGTGTGTGTGTGTGTGTGTGTGTGTGTGTGTGTGTGTGTGTGTGTGTGTGTGTGTCTGTCTGTGTCTGTCTGTGTCTGTGTGTGTGTGTGTGTGTGTGTGTGTCTGTGTGTGTCTGTGTCTGTGTGTGTCTGTGTGTGTCTGTGTCTGTCTATGTCTGTCTATGTCTGTGTGTGTGTCTGTCTGTGTGTACATATATATATTTTTTTATTATCTTAGTAATTATTTTGACACAGTATTTAAATGTTTGTCACACCTTCAGAAACAAATTTTCCTAAAGTGAACATTTCAGATCTCTTTATTAATATCACTATTATTACTTCATGAAAAAGGAATTAATTCATAAATTAGGAACAAGTACAGAATATAAAAGGACTAAATACAAATATTACAACCCCAAAAAGTAAATTTGAATATTAGGATTGTTTTTGTAGAAACAGCTGAGACTAATTTTTCATGGTTAATAACAGTTTAGAATTATTGTTCACAATTAATAATAACAGTAACTATCTTGAACATTTCTCTGAAGCAAATCTCAATTATTGACCATAAAATGAACATAAACAAGAGTAAGATCATGTGAAGATACAGAGAAATATGCCATACTGCCTTATAAGAGAACCAAAATGACAATCACAAATGCATGTAGTAGTCCGCAGGTAAAGAGAGCTGTGCAGTTGACTATTACAAGGGACAGTGACAATAATCCATTGTAATAAAAACCAAGAAAACTCCCATCATGTATATTCTGACAAGACACGAGATTGTGGACCTCTGCAATTTCTCATCAGCTAAGGTTCAAGTCCAACCTCATCCTACTAGCGTATGCATGAGGGATGTTTCTTGGCATTGGCCATAGCATAGAGGCCGAAGAGTTATGTCACTATTTCTTTAAATTCAAACCCAAAGTCTGAGATTATTATTTTTTTAAATGTTTTGAAGGAGCAGGTACAAATTTTAATCTCAGGAGAAATCACATACAGTCTCATACAGCTAAATATCATAAAGATTACCATTTGTCATGTGCAATTCTCAAGCAACTGGACATTCAGAGCTGTAATTCATAAAATAGGGAATATTTGTTCTTTCCAAAATAAATATAAACATTTCTCTACATTTCAGATGTTCATAAGCAGTATGACATAGCCCACATGAGTGTTGTTTTCTTCAGCTGTTCCTTTCCACTCAGGATTTTTTAATTATTTGGTTGAAGATGCGAGAGGGGAGGGGGCATAAAACCAACGACCAACTACTAGAGGGAGTGTGGTGGCAGAAAGAACCACTGGTTTAGAGTCTTCCTTGTTATAGTTTACATCTGATTAAAGTACTTGACATTCAAGATTAAATACAAAATTATCCTTGCACTGCTTAATAAAATTATCTTTATGCTGTTTTCTATATGAAGTCCATTTCATAATATGGTTAACAATAATGATTATACTTTTTTTTTTCTAGACTCTACTATAGTGGTAATTTGATAATGCTGTGTGCTTGTATTTTTAATTCATATATAATGAAATACACTGAGCAAAAATTTGCATTAGTTTTAGAAGTGCAATAACATACAGGTGAAGAGAGAGAAAAAAAACATCTACCATTATGTGTTTTATGGAAGTTTGTTCTTTTTCATTTAAACTGGTTTTAAAAACAACTGTACTTCTATAAAAAGGAAATAACACAAAAAACTCTTTGATATTAAACATTTAATAACACTGAAACTGATATTCACTCTACAAGACTAATCTCATTTCTATACAATAGAAAAACCTGTAAATTTTCTTCAGGGAATGTAATCTTAAGAAAAAAGGAAAGAGAACGAGATGAGAGAGAGGAGAGAGAGAGAGAAAGAAAGAAAGAAAAAAAATGAGAATCAGGAAAGCAAGAATACTTTTCCATGAGCATCTGTCAAGCATGAGTTCCAATTTCCTTTTTCATGGGAAAGAATTAGAAAAAAAAAAGAAATTGATAGTTATAATAAAAAATGAAAAGGAGGCATAGATAGTCAGGATTCATGCTTGTGTTCATAATTACACTCTCCACTTTATGTACTTTGAAGGTGGATACACACTCGACATTAAAGTTTCTTTTTAAATTCAGGCCTCTAACCTCACTGGTTCTCTTGTCCACTCTGGGTTAGAGAGCTCTGCGTTGGGACACATGACGATAGCTGCTCTTCTATCACCACTCAAGGCGCAGCATACGGCACACATCACTCTGTTTGTGCATAGTCATTATGCTATATTTTGTACATCAGTCCTTAACCACTCCTTAAAAAGACAATCGGCAAATAAATAAAATACTGGTGAACGTACTCCATACAATACCATGATAAAAAATGACACAGAAGTTGACGCTATTTGCGCGTGCCCATTAGCGCCTCGTCCATGAGGTCGTCGTCTATAATGCATGAAGAGGGTGACGAGGCTACTGAGTGGGGCGAGATCATGTTCAGAGGGGACGCCACGGGATGAGGCGAGATCATGTTTAATGGGGAGGCAACTGGTGCTGGGGACTTCACAATCTTGAAGGACATGGAAGGTGAGGAGGGGGGGTAGCCTACGGTCGGGGTTGTTGTTTTTGGGGGAGGAGGCTGGCTCATGGCGTGGCTCGAGGGAGGGGGGCCTGGCATGCTCGAGACAAGGCTCTCACTTGACTTGGACTTGTCATGGAGGTCCAGACTTGAGCCAGTGCTGTGGTCGATGCCATCCGCAGCCTTGTTAGAGGCAGAATGTGGGGGTGGTGGCTGGCGTGGGGGAGGGATGCTGGAGTTGAGGCTGGCAGAAGAGGAGGTGGGTGTCAGGGATGGCACTGGGTCTGAGGGAAGGTGATCTGAAGTTGTCATGGCCCCACTACTGCTTGAACTCACAGATGGTCTTGGCAGTGGCAGGGGAATGTCTGACTTGGGCTTGGTATCCTCCTTTGCCTCCTTGCTGGGCTTGAACTGGGGCTGCTGGAACACATCACGCTGCCGGATCATATCACTTGATGACGAGGGAGCAGCCTGGGTGCCGGAACTTAAACTAGACACTGGTGTGGAGAGTTTATTGGAACTTGCTAAGCTATTGTGATGGCCCACACCTCCTTTCTCAGAAAAACTATCAGACAACTTGTTCGAAACTGAAGAGTCTGCACTTGTGCTATGGGTAGAATCAGCTTCTGCCTTAGTGGTGCTAGACTTCTCAATTTTGTCTCCCGATTCATTTTGAAATACCGACTTGCTTAATTTGTCTATGCTCTCTGATGACTCCAATTTTCTATGACTTGATACTTGTGACACACTATGATCATCTTTAGACACCGGTTTAGTAAGGGAAGTCTTATTAGAGGGGCTATCTTTCTTGCCATCCGATGAGCTGTTGTTCAGCGATTTGGCTGGGGAAGTTTCTTTAGGTCTGGGCCTTTCACCAGAACTTGAACGGTCCTTTTCCCTATCCTTGTCCTTCACCCGTTCTCTCTGGTACTGCAGAGGGCTCGAGTGGACCCCTGGTAACGTTGTGCCAAGTGGAGAAACTGCCGTTGCTGTTACATTTGACACAGAAGATGGAGGCAACTTGGGAATGGGGGGAAGGCTCGAAATGGACTTTTTGGAAGCCGGCCCACTTATGACTCCTGGCTTCAAGCCTGATGGAGACTTTGAGAGCGAAGGCTTAGCATTGGGCGAGGAGGAGGAGGAGGATTTAGAGAGGTTGCCTTCCTTCATCTTGGCCTTGTTGATAGTGAGCTTCAATCCCGTTGAGGGCTTGACCGTGAACTCCTCTTTCTTGTCTCCTGTCTTCTTGCCTTCACCTGCTCCTGTCTTGGACGAGTCTTTATCATCCTTCTCATTCTTCTCAATAATAGTGACAGCATCGGCAGTGCCTCCCACACCTGCTCTCAGCTTATCCACAATGTCTGACAAGCTGGATCCCTTCCGATTCTTAGGCGGGGATGCCTTGGCCTTGTCCACTGGGAATGATGGGGCTTTCTCGTCCATCGACGTTGATGATGTGTTGGACTGTGAGTTTGCAAGGAAGGATGTGGCTAATGAAGAGGATGAGGATGACTCACCTGTGGACACCTTTGTGATTGTCAGAGCATCACTTAAGCTGCTTTTTAACTTCTCTGTTCCGCTTGAGGATGAACTGGATGACACCTTTGGCTTGGAAAGGGAGGAGGAGGAGCTGGAGGACGATGAGGAGGACATGGAGGAAGAGGAGGAGGAGGAACTGGAGGGCAGGGGCCGAGAGGGGCTGGAGCTGGAGCTTCTCTCCTTGTCCTTGCTCTTGCTGAGTTTGGGGGAGAGGGATGGCTTGGAAAAGGTCGGGGAGGCAGACTTCAGCTGAGTCATGCTGGGCTTCCCAAGGCTGGTATGTTTGGGGGACATGCTGGGGTGCTTGGGGCTCCCTGTGGAGGGCTTAGGGCTACTCCTCCCCTTGGGCGAGGAAGAGTGGCTGCTGCTACTCTGGTTGGGGCTGTAGATGACCTTGTTTGGCTTGTGGGTGGGACTCACCGACAATTTGTTGTGGATCATGGATTTGGTCATGCCAGGCGACAGAGAGGGCTTCTTGGAGGGGGACTGGTAGGGAGGGGTGCTGGGCTTGACTGTGATGCCCGTGAGCCCCGACTTGCTGCCACTCTCACTCTTGAATTTCTCCAGCGATGATATAGGGGAGTGCTTGAGGTTGCTGCTGATAATCTGCACCTTTGAGGGCTTGCTACTGCTACTACTGCTGCTGCTTGAGCTGTTGCTGCTGGGTGAGTCATCTCGCTTCCTCTTCTTGTCCTTCCGGTCCAGGTCCTTCTTGTCACGCCGGTCCTTCTTGTCCTTGTTCTTGTCATCAGCCGACTTAATGACAGGTGTGACGGTTATGGAGGAAGGGATCGAGATGGGTGTGGTGCTGCCTGGGATGGGGATAATCTCGATGCCAGGCCGTTTCAGCAGTGCCGCACTCAAGGAGGAAGAGCTATGGCTGCTGCTGCTGCCACTACCACTGCCAGACTTCTTGCTGGAGCTTTCTGTCTCTGTCAAGTCCAGCACAATTGGCGACTTGCGGGAGTCAGGCCCATCTGTCCGGGGCTTCTTCACTTTCTTGATGTCTTTGCTGTCTTTGTGGGAGTAGGAGTTGATCTTGGCAAAGTTGGCAGCATTAGCAGCCCCATATACCTGCTCTCTCAGGGCGGCAAGGTCTGTGGTGGCGATATCTGTGGTACCACTGTCGCTGGATGACCTCCTCTTGTTGAAGATGGTCTGTAACTTCTCCATTTTGACATCCCTGCGCTTCATGTTGTCCACGATGGCTGGCACGCCCTCCCCCAGATAAGAGTCTGAGCTTCTCTCATCCAGGTCTATGACCACGTCGTCCCCATACTTGGGGCTCTTGCGGTCCAGGTCCAGCCCCGGTTTTTTCTTCCGGACTTTTGCCGGTTTAGCATCACCTAAAAAAGGCTGGTTGAGGTTGGGTTTGTGGCCGACAGCACCCAGCAGAGCCCCATATCCCAGGGGAGTGCCTGCCTCCTGCACGGCATTCCCCAGAGCGGCCAAGGGGTTGGTGCTGGCATCGCCCCCTCCCGAATGATGGTTGGACGAGGGGAACGGCCCGTTGTAGTAGCCATGTCCTGGGGCAGTATTGGCCACCACGTTGTTCAAGTTGTTGACATGCGGCGCCATCAGCTGGTCCCTCCGCATGCCCAACTTATCATACTCATTCAACAAGAACTTGGTATTCTGGTTGAGGTCGGAGTTGAGCTTCCCGCCTCCCATCATCACAGCTGAGTCGCCTCCTGTCACCGCATCCTTCCGCTCCTCTTTGGCCACCTTCTTCATCACAGCACGCATCGTAACCGGGATGGATAAACACCTGAGAGTACAGAAGACATCATGCCTAAGGTGGTCTATGGAAAATCACATGCATTAAAAAGTAAATTTCCTAAAAGCTCTTAGCAATTAATAATCTACATAATAATTTTTTTTTTTTTTTTTCATAATCATCCATGTGGGAAGAAGAAAATAAAAATCAGTCTTGCAAAGCTCTGACACATAAAGAAAATATCGATCTCGAAATAAACCATTTTAACCCCTTGGATCTAGGTTATGTGATCATCAAGTCGTGAAAAAATCTGGCTGAGGGACTTGCGATGGGCGCGATTCGTTACGAGTGCACAAAGCTCTTGGAGGGTGATTAGACTCGGTGGGTATTTAAAAAGGAGACCTTGCATTACTTCCATCAGTAAGTAAGTGTGGAAAGTACCATCCTTAAGCCATGGCTAGAAGGGCATCGGATCCAGGGAGGACATTACTTCCATGCTCCTGTCCACTGTGATCGCCAGCACAAGGTGGATTCCAGCAAATTGAATATTACAAAAATGTTTTTAAAATGAAACAAAATAAATAAAGGTTACTTATTCTTATTGTTCCTGCTCAGTTACTTACTATAGAAATGATACACACCCTGTGCGAGGAAAACCGTCAACTACCATCTCCATACATGTTAAATGACAAATAGAGACTTTGGAAACTGGAGAGAGAGAGAGAGAGAGAGAGAGAGAGAGAGAGAGAGAGAGAGAGAGAGAGAGAGAGAGAGAGAGAGAGAGAGAGAGAGAGAGAGAGAGAGAGAGAGAGAGAGAATTTTAATATTGCAAAGGGGAGGCAAGGAGTCTAAACACCACACACAAGGGTTTGCGGGGTCTGGCCTACAAAGGGGAGGCAAGGAGTCTAAACACCACACACCTGGGAGTTACCAATCAAGTAAGCATAAATGCGCTGATTATGGCCTACATGCGCACCAGATCCAATGGGTATACAAATTATTGTCCCTAAACCTAAACATCTTACAGGCTTACACCTGCAAAAAGGAACAATGAAGAGAAAAACAAGAAAACACAAATATGCCGAAGGTCTTTTCACTCTATTGCTTTTTCTTGCCCTGCAAAAAGGCCTCTGGCATATTCGCATGTTTTCTTGTTCTTCCCTTCGCTGTTCCTTTAGCAATTTGCTTAACATGAATTCCGCATGCTTACCTCTGCAACACCTTTGTGGCATACTCCTCGGAGCAGAAACCTGGGTCAGGGGTCAGGGTGTGCAAGCGACAGCGCGCATTGCAGAGGTCTGTTAGATCAATTTCTGCTGTGGCTGTGCTTTCCTCCTGTGGATGCTCGAATGTGACGGAAATGTATTCGTGGCTTGCGGCCGTCACTTCGAACATGTATGCTGAGTCTGGGTCTGAAAGTTTTTTGTTTTTTTTGAGTGACTATAGGATTAACCACTAAAACAATCCTCTTTATTTGTTGTATCCTAAATTAGGAATGTAGTATCACATGCCCATATATCAAATGTAACAATGCCTTTCCATGCCCGAGCTCTATGCCGGCTTGGTAGATGAGTAGTGATTGCTGTGATTCTTTTCTTTTAAATGATATAATACAGATCATAATAGTTTTATAGCCTAAATTTCCAATGTAATACTATCATATAATGCTATGACCATGCATCAAATGTACCACACTACACAGTGCAGTTAGCCAGGATGGTAAAAAAAGGACTAAACTAAAATATTTTTCGGAGCTCCTGCATATCAGACATCAGTAACTAACTGACCATCTGCAAGGTCACAAACCCAAAAGGCGAACCCTCACCTTGCTTACTGGCCGGTCTCACACACGATGAGATAAGGGCATTGAACGCCGCCTGTGCTCTGAGGCACATGAGGATGTTGGTGATGTGCGTAGGGTGTGTGAACGGGATGGAGCTTACCATCACCCCTGGCAGCTCACCGGAGCTCGTCATGAAGTAGCAGTGCTGCTGGTCTGGCAAGGTCTGTGGGCAGGGGAACAAAAGTCATGTTTATCTCTCTACTCACTCACTTACTCTCTCACTCTCTCTTTTCTTTTTTTTTCATACTCCTAGAAAAAGCCATGGCAAGATGTCTAAGCACCTTACCCAACACACAGAATTTCTTTGAATTTCTTTGCATATGTCCCAAGCAATATATCTGCAGTCATTCAGCCCCCAACATTTTAGGTATTTTTCCAAATGATACAATCTCAACTGCTGGGAAGATGAGGAAAAAATAGTGGGAGGAGGAGGAGGAGGAGGAGGACCATATATGAAGAAAGAGAAGAGAAGACATATAAAAAAGAAGAAAGAAGACTTATATTGAAAAAAAATAACACCAAAGAAGGGAAGAACAGAAAAAAAGGAAGGAAGACAAAGATAAAGACAAAGACAAAAGAAAAGAAAAGAAAAAGTTGAGAAAAGAAAAGAAAAAGAAAAAAGAGCTAAGAGATGATAAGAAAAAAATGAAAAAAGAAAAAGTCAGAGAGAGAAAAAAAGATTAGTAAAATGCCAAAAAAACAAGAAAGAAAAAAAACAGGAAAAGAAAAGAAGCAAACAGTGAAGCAAACAAAAGCAAACACCGCAAGATCCTCACCACGAACAAGCCCCTGTTGCTGTTGTACTCAAACTGCCCGTCTGTGGCCTGCTGGACGATGAGGGAGATGAGCGACTGCTGGTTGGACAGATCCACGCAGTCCAGGCAGGTCACCTCGTTAATGCGCTGGATCAAGGCCAGAGACACGGGCATGGGCTTGCGGAGTTTGAGTGAAAAGCAGGCAGGTAGCGTCATGCTGTTGTCGTTGGTCAGCCCCGAGAAGGATGGCAGCCTGTTATAGAGTACGTAAATGAGTCAATAAATAAATACTCCAATTTTTATATAGAGAGAAATATATGCATGAATAAATTAATACATAATAAATTAATAATTTAGTATTAAATGTTTAATCTAGGTAAATAATCTAGTATGGAGAAAAATTACATTGCTAAGTCTTGCGCCTATCCTACTCTTGCTTCATGTATTTTGTAACAACACATATATATTGTCTACCTTTTCCTTCTTTTCATCATTTTCCATTTGTACTAACAAGACACTCAAATAATATATACAATGAGAAACACAAAATGAGAGGTAGGTAAAACACATTCTACTGATGATATAGCACTAGCAATTCTGCTTTAGCTGGAGTTTAATAAAAAAAAATATATATATACATTTGATCATAAAAAAAAAAAAAAAAAAAAAAAAAAAATATATATATACATTTGATCATATTTTGCTTTAATATTCACATTAAAAAACAATGACCCTGCTTTATTACCTATTTACAGAATTTCATTTCTATCATTTAAGATTTTCAGAATGTTGAGGATGCAGATGATGATAATGATAATCCTCATGCTATTGTGGGCAGATGTCAGATGAAGCATAACCTTTGATCTAATACAAAGTTGCAACCTTCACCTCTATCCTAGGGCTAGTTGCGGTCCTAATCAACTCACAGTCCCAGAGGCTCTTGAACTCCTAAATAATCGGTCAATAATCAGGTGCCTGAGCCTACGGAATCACTGTACCACTGATCACACAGAGTATAAAACTGTTCACCATATGATATCACACAAGGTACAGTCTACTGGGTGAGGTCACATGGCTCTTATCATGATATATGGCTGATATCTGTAATTCAAATATCACTCAATGCTTTGGAGCCATTCGAAAGAAATTCGTAACATGATGTGGAAAACTTCAGGGAGTATCATATCCATGCTAGGATACATGGAAACCAGGAAGGCATACACAAAATACTTCAAACCTCCATCTTTCTCCTATCACATAAAGGCTTCAATAATGGCAAGAGACAAGACCCCAAAGGGCTTTCTAAAACTTTCATATACCCCAAAGCCTTACTTCTTGCCATTGGGCTGTTTTGTGATGATCATGAGTGTGGTGGTCTGGAGTTTGTGGGAGTTAGATGCGTCAATGTTGACTGTGACATAGTGTGAGAGGTCCCGCGACGATGGGGTCTCTGTGGTGAGGGTGATGGAGCGGCCAGCCTGAACATCCAGCAGCTCATAGGGGGAGACGAAATACACTAGGCGCATGGCATGACCTGTGGGAAACGGGAAAAGGGGGGTATTATATGTCAGTAGTTGCACTATAGAGATTGAGGCCAATTTTGCTAATACAAAAGTTGGCCAATTATTGTGTAGTTGGTAAGTACTGTCAAGATTTTAATTCATCTTTAATACATTACTTCATCTTTAGTAAACATACAAAAAAATTATGACAATAACATAAAATAAATACTTGTGACAAGAAACTTCTTTGGCATATTACATCACAAAAAACTGGAGTTGTTCAGATTCTTTTATCAAAGACTAGCTCACAAAATCCCAGACTAAGGCTGAGTCACGCCAGCTCATTTTGTTGTCATGTCTCAAGTACAGATAACACTAGAGGAAGAAACAGCAGCTGGAACCTTCCCTTCCTGAACTTGCAACAGTTCTCACCTCCTCTTCTCCTTTGCAAGAGGCCGACAGGGGATTTAAGGACCAACTTGTAGGGGTCTGTGAGAGTCTCCTGCGCCAACTCAAAAAGTTTCGTCAGATCTGTCTCCAAGGCCTGAGGAAGAGAGGGGTGAATGTTGAAAAATAAAATGATAGCAATATAAGAGTACCATTTTATATTTACTCTTTCTTATTTTTTTCTTAATTCTGAGAAGAGCTGGGTAAAAATAAGTGAAATAAAAATCAAAATTAACAAAAACTATGAAGGCATTAAAGAAAAAAAAATCAAGCATTGAAAAGGTCAAGATTTATTATTCTATGTTGATCACAAGAATAAAGGATACAAATACAACATTTTGTGTTATGTGCTAGAAGGATACATCCAGTATCATACAAGCTGGGTGAATACTGAATTAAATTTAAATAAATTGTTCTCATATTTGAATTCAATACTCACTGATATATCCCTCCTTAACATTTACACAATCTCTTCCCTTCCTATACAGAAAGTACTATCGAGCCTCTTTCTAACACAATTCACCAATAAAAATACCATACCAACAATTAATCATAAAATAACCAACACTGCCTTCCTAAAATATTGTGATCATTATCATTATTGTTGCCTATTACATGTGTGCACATACATGTCTTTTATCTCATCTGACTTTGTATAGGTTGAGTGAGAAGTGCTCTCTGTAGCCGGGTCGCGTGGAGTGCGCTCTGGTTCCTCTTGGCTGGTGTGTTTCTGAATTGCCTATGAGGAGCAGTGGTCAACCAAGTACTCTGCTTGGGCCTATGCTTACCAAGGCTTGTTTATTGAGGTGTTTGTGCATGTGTGGAGTTTGTATGTGAGGTATGGCACCGAGTTGTCTGCTTTGGGTAGTGTGGTGTTGGAAGAATGTGGAAACATAGCGACACTTGTGTACTGTGCTGCGTACTGTACGAGTTGTGTTCCTCTTGCATTGTTGTATGGTTAGACCTTTCATACCTGTGTGCCAGTGGTTTAACTATATTATTTGATCTATTCTAGAGATTATATGACAAGTATTGTTTGTAGTGTGTATAGTTTTGTTTTAGATATAATCGCATCCCGTGCAGGTCTTGCTTATTCTAGTGTGTATCTAATGTAATGTTTGAAATATCTGCATGAGTGTTCCTCTTATCTGGCTAAATATGGTATCTGTGACAGCTTTATAGGTGTTGCAGTGTTCTTTGTATTTGTGTGATATGTATGAATTACATGCAGAGTCAATGATATGTTAATTTAAAAAAAAATAATAATAAATAAATAAATAATAATTTTTAAAAAATCAATAAATAATAATAATAATAACAATAATAATAATAATAATAACAAACTACATTAGGCTCCAGTCTCCATCCCCAAAGGCCCCCCTCCCCAACAACAACAAACAAGGTATTGGGAGGGATCAACCAGTCATGCAAACCACAAGACATACAATTGTAATCCAACCAATATCTACGCTATTCCCTTACCTGTAGGGCTTGGAATGCCTTGCTTTTGATTTTCTTGTCGGCATTTAACTGGTATATCGATGAGAAGCCCTCGAGGTGTGCTGTGAAGTCGACAAAATCTCCGCTGCTCAAACACTCCATCAGCTCCGGAGACGACTAGGGTGAAGCAAAAACGGGAATCGTATTAATCTTCTTTCGCAAGATTACTTCACCTGGGAAATTCTGTTCTTTGGCTATATACTTGTACTTTCTATTCTGTTCCTTAATTTCATTCACAAATTTACTTATTAAGGTATATACATGCCTGGGATATCTTTTACGGGTAAAATCCATAAGAAAAAAAAATATATGCTAATAAAAAATAAACAAGTACAATAATATGGAGAGCAGTAAAAAAAATAATATAAATACATACATACGTGAAAAGGGGTTATTTATCATCATTAATATCATTATTATTATTATCATCACTAATTCATTCATTTCATTTTTTCAATGGCAATGTAAAGCCACTGTGCATCCTTGATAAGCATATCAATATTTTTTATTCTACACCCGTCTTATCACGCAACCCTATTCTCAATATCAAACCTCATAATATAGGAGAACATCCCGTAATCAACAACTGTAATTAAGCGCAAAACTTTCCAAATCGCCGAGACCCACCCAATCAAAAACAACCCCAGGCCATTCCTGAATTAAACAGACCGTCTCAAACACCACTAACAAAAAAACAAAAACGCAACACACATTCCTTACCTGTCCCTCGCGCGCATTCTGGTCCCCCGCTAGCTCGACCTTCACGTCACGCACTCTTCCGTCTGTGTCTAATAGCACCTCCACGTAGAACATGTCGCAAGAGACGAATACCTCTGAGCCCGTGGTCCCAGCTGTGAATTTGAGCCTAGGAGTGGGATGGAAAGTTAGTTTGTATCTTCACTGGTGTGTTTATGTGTATATATGTGTGTGTGTGTGTGTGGGGGGGATCATGCATGCATGCAAGTGTAATTACGAGTTTGAGTATGAGCGTGAGCACAAGTATAAGTGTAATTATAAGTATCAGCATAAGTATAAATGTAGGAATAAAAATATGTGTAAATATAAGTACAGGAATAAGTATATGTATATATGTATGTATGAATGTGAGTGTGAATGTAAATGTAACCATCAGCATAAATATAAGTGTAAGTGTAAGAGTAAATATAAGTGAGTGAGTATGAATGCAGAGCATGTGTGAATGTAAGTATGCATGTAAATATGTGAGTGAGTTTGCATTTGACTAGCCTATACATTTGTCATTCCTTATTCATGACATGCTTTTACTTTATATATATATATATATATATTATATATATATATATATATATATATATATATATATATATATATATATATATATATATATATATATATATATATATATATATATATATATATATATATATATATATATATATATATATATATATATATATATATATATATATATATATATATATATATATATATATATATATATATATATATATATATATATATATATATAATATATATATATATATATATTATATATATATATATATATATATATATATATATATATATATATATATATATATATATATATATATATATATATATATATATATATATATATATATATATATATATATATATATATATATATATATATATATAGCATATTAGTCATGCTGTAACTAGGTAGGATAGAGTAGCAAGAGATACAACCTTATTTTTGTTATTGCTTTTTGTGTTTGTGACTGACATTATGATAATACATCAGCAGTAAATCTATTCAAGTATGTATTTTTATACTTGTGCAGCACTTTAAACACATTCAGAGATTCTATACAATTGACTCCTTTCTATGACCTACATTACCTGTCCCATGCAACTGTATTTGTCATGTATTTATTTTCTCATACACATATCTATACATATACAAAGTAATGGCTTGCTCCGCATGTTTATTGTCCCTTCCTGTCAAGGTATGTAAGCATTTGGGTTCTCTTTTCATATCAAGACAAAAGAGAAGAAGAAGAGGAAGAGGAAGAGGAAGAGGAAGAGGAAGAAGAAGAAGAAGAAGAAGAAGAAGAAGAGAAGAGGAGAGGAGGAAGGAAGGGGAGGGAGGAAGGGGAGGAAGGGGAGGAGAGAAGGGAGGAGGAGGAAGGGAGAGGGAGAGGAGGAGGAGGGAGGAGAGAGGAAGGGGAGAGGGAGGGGAGGAGGGAGGAGGGAGAGAGGAGGAGGAAGGAGAGGAGGGGAGAGGGGAGAGGGGGAGGGAGAGGAGGAGGGGGAGAGGGGAGGAGGAGAGGGAGGAGGGGAGAGAGGAGAGAGGGAGAGAGGGAGGAGAGGGAGGGGAGAGGGGGAGGGAGAGGAGAGGGGAGGAGGAGAGAGGGAGGGAGAGGAGGAAGGGGAGGGGGAGGGGGAGGAGGGAGAAGGGAGGGGAGGAGGAGGAGGAGGGGAGGGGAGGGGAGGGGAGGAGGAGGAGGAGGGGAAGGAGGGGAGGAGAGGGGGAGGGGAGGGGAGGGGGAGGAAGGGACGGGAGGGGAGGAGGAGAAGGGACGGGGAGGGGGAGGAGGAGGGGGGAGGGAGGGGGGGAGGGAGGAGGAAGGGGGGGAAGGGAGGGGAGGGAGGAAGGGACGGGGAGGGGGAGGAGGAGGAAGAGAAGAGGAGGAGGAGGAGAGAGGAGGAGGAAGGAGGAGGAGGAGGAGGAGGAGGAGGAGAAGGAGAAGGAGAAGAGAAGAAGGAGGAGAAGGAAGAGAAGGAGAAGAAGGAGAAGGAAGAGAAGGAAGAGAAGGAGAAAAAGAGGAGGAGGAGGGAAGAGAAGGAAGAGAAGAAGAGAAGAAGCAGGAGAATAAGAAAAAGAAGAGGAGGAAGACGAAAGAAGTAACAAAGTACAGCACTTACCCCAGCTGCTTGGCAATGGCTTCCAGTCGCTCCACCATGGCCGAGAGGGAGGTGACTTTAATGTTGCCCTGGAGGGAGTCGAGGCAAGATCCCAAGGCCGCACGCTCACTGGGGTCCATGAGGTGGCTCTTGTTCTGTCAAGGGAAGGGGAACGTAAAGAGGGTGTGGTATTGGAAGAGCGGGAAATGCTATTTGCAAAGAGATGTGTGCTAAATACAAACATGTGTAAGTATATATGCATGCACATCTATACATATATGCCTCCATATATTCACACTCACACAAATACACAGACATGCACTCACCCACGTAACTAAACTCACTTAGGTTTGCTTTAGATGTACCAATTCTTCCTTTTCCCAAACATTTTGCTTTTTGCCGTCAGTGGTGTAAGTGAAAATGCCTAACGATCGCATTGGTCATTCGCCTCCTTCCCAGCCTTTAGCCATCTTACAAGCCTATGCATTCTTTATCCAACCTGCCTCCTCTCCCTCCCCACCTCCCTCCTCCTTCATCAAACCAATTCCCTTTCTCTCTCACCCTCCTTCCCTCTCTCTCATACAACCCACCACCTCTCCCTCTCACCCTCCTTCCTTCCTTGCCTCATCTAACACATCACCTCTCCCACTCACCCACCTTCCCTGCCTCCTTCACCCAGACTATCCCCTCTCCCTCTCACCTTCTCTCCTTCATCTAACCAACTATCTCTCCCTCTCACCTTCCAACCTTTTTTATCCAACCTTTATCCTCCTCACACCCTCCCTCCTTTCTTCATCCAGCCCAATACCTCTCCCTCCCTCACTCCCTCCATTCTGTCTTTCCCTCCCTCCAACCCCTCCCTCTCCCTCTTCTTTGTACCCTCCCTCTCCCTACCCCCCCTCCCCATTCTTTCCTCCTCTCCTTCTCCTCCTTCCCCTCCTCCCACTCCTCCCCTTCACCCTCTCCCTACCCTCTTCCTCCTTCTCCTTCTCCTTTGCCCCCACCCTCTCCCTCTCCCCTCCCACCCCCTAAACTCACCATAATAGCATGCTTGATGCCTTTGGCTGACTCGACGAGCGATCTGTATCCTCCGGCCTTGCTCCTTAGCCTCTCCATGAGCACCTCCATCTGCCACGCCGTGCTGGTGGGGGAGCTGACATTAGTGGCTGTTGCGGTGGCCGTGGCCGGGGTGGCTGGGGTGGCTGTGACCGGGACGGGGGTGGCGGCGATGGTGGGGGTGGACGATGCGCTCCTCCCTCCTCCTCCTACTCCTACTCCTCCTCCTCCTCCTCCTCCATCCTCGTCTGAAATTGTATTGGAGATATTTAGTGCTGGCTAGAAGCTTAGTCCTAAGGATGGGGCAATGGCTAAATTACGCTGTGCGTGGGCCTGTTTCCTACCATAGGCCGCTGTCTCGTATTGCCGAGAGATAAAAGGATGCAAAGTGACAAAAATCACCAAAAACACTTAGAAAGTAGAAAAATCATGGCAATAATGACAGGATAACTGCATCAAACAGGATAATATCAATCATAATCATATTAAAAAAAAAAAAAAAAAAAAAAAAAAAAAAAAAAAAAAAAAAAAAAAAAAAAAAAAAAATAATAAAATAATAATAATAATAATAATAATAATAATAATAATAATAATAAAAGATAATAATTAATATAAAAAATAAAAAATAATAAAAATAATGAAAATAATACCAATTACAATAACAATAGTAATAACCATAATGATAATAATAATAATAATAATAACAATCATAATAACAATAACATTAACAACAAAAAAACAACAGCAACAACAACAACACCAACAATAATAATAATAATAATAATAATAAAGATACTAATACTGATAACGATAAAAAAAAAAAACATCATCATAATACTGATAAAAAAAAAATGATAATAACAATAACAACAACAACACTAACAGCAACAACATCAACAACAACAATAATAACAATAAAAATAATCACTATTGATATCATTGTCATTATCATCATTATCATGGTAATATAACAATAACAATAATAATAACAATAATATAAACAGTGAAAAGTGATAATGGTAATGAAAACAATAATGATGATGATGGCAATACAAAAAAATAAAAAAAAATAAAAAAATAAGACAAAAAAAAATATAATATATATATATATATATATATAATAAAATAACAATAATAATAATAATAATAAATAATAATAATAATAATAATAATAATAATAATAATAATAATAATAATAATAATAATAATAATAATAATAATAATAAATAATAAATAATAACAACAATAATGATGATGATAAATAATGTTAGCTACAATAATAAAAACAACAATAATGATGATGATAATAATAACAAAAACTATAACAATAATAATAATAACAGTAACAATATAAATAATAATAATAATAATAAAAATATTATCAATAATAATAATATTTATAAAAACAATAATAATAATAGTAATAATAATACACATAAATATGGTAATAATAATAACAACAACAATAATAATAATAATAACAATAATAATAATAATAATAATAATAATAATAATAATAATAATAATAGCAAAACTTACTATTAGCCCTGTTCAACACACCCACACACAATAAATTATATAATAAAAAAAGCACATTCAAAGATCTAAGAATTAAAATACATATATAAAAACATATACATTAAAACATACAAAATATATACAAGACTGTATGAAATATGCAAAAGAACGATACACAGACATGGACAAATATTAATTGTAACAGACAAGTGCTTCATGGCAATATCGGTGCTTGCAGGCATATTAAGTGCAATGAATATATATAACAGTAGTTGATGTATATAGTGCATGAATTCCAAAGTCTCACTTTATTTGAAGTCATAAAATATATATGTATATATTACCTACATGTATAAAATTTACAATTTCCACAAATATCACTTTCCTTGATGCCCAAATAACTGTGGATAAACTTGTACCTCATTTACATAATAAGCTGTACCCACTTGCTGCAGCATCAAAACTCACATGCAATATTTCTGACTTCTTTTTCAAATGAATATCCCATTTCCCACACCATCAAACCCACCATAACATGCGCTAAAAATCCATTCGACTACAAAATAAAATATGCAAAGAAAAAACACGTACACATTACTATTTCTACTCTTCTCGGTAAGCAGATCAAAAGCTTCTCCTCCTCCACGACTCCCAGACAAACAAAAAAGTTCCGCAGATGAGAGTTAAAGAGTCTATTACCCATTAATTCCTATTCTTGTCCTTTCCTTCAGACAATAAAGACTACAGGTAAGTTAGGCATTTTGCTGATTTCTATTTCACAGCTTCAAATTACACATTTCTTTTTATCTTTCTTTCTCTTAGCCAATACAAGGCTATGGTTCTAAATACAAAACTCAGTCAACAGAACAGACGCATGTACGTAGCCATACAGGGACATAAGGTAATGTATAGAGCAATTTAACCCATTTGCAACAGAAGGGCAAGAGTCTAAATACTGTCATTTCATTACATTAATCAAGCTGTCACTTAAATGGCTCCCAGACTGTTCAGTTGCTGTGACTGGTCGTGCCTAACCAGTAGGAAAAGTTGAAGGAAGGTCTACCCCCAAAGAAACACTCTCTTCATCTCAGTATGCACAGAAAGATAGAGCTGAAACTTGGAAGCACCAAGCAGACATATATATTTTACCTTTATTTCTGTCTGCAGGTTATTTCTAGTACCAATAACTGCAACTTCTTGTCGTCTACAAGAATATCATATTCAATTTGTACTGCGCCACACACAGGCTTACAGGAAATGAAGCTAAAGAGAGACTTTCAGACTATTTTTCAAGGTGCGTATCATCCTAGGGTCAATCAAGCAAACAACTGTTTAGTGCACCCAACATCAAGCAAGCTCAATCAAGTGTGAGTGGTTTAACCAATTAACCGCAGTATCAAAAATTGGCTAGTAGCCAGTAGTGCAGGATTGTTGGCATGTATTAGCAATTTCCCAATTACACCCAACTCATTCAGTAATTTAAGGATAACAATAGGCATCTAATACCTTGTATTAAGAGTACTGAAAATGAAAAAGATAATAATAACAATAACAATAACAATAACAATAACAATAATAATAACAATAATAATAACAATAATAATAATAATAATAATAATAATAATAATAATAGTAACAACAACAATAATAATAATACTGAGTACAATCATTACTTTGAGCTTCATTGGCAGGCCA